CAGGTGCGTTGCCGGTATTATCATAATTGACACGGTATTATTATGATCTATGTAATTATTTTCTGAAGATCTATACTGGGCAGTTAAGATCACGCGCAGTGACTGAGTGAGGGCCACACCTCGCGGGTAACGGCCGGTATGTGGCACAAGGATGCCACTTACTTCAACTTAATGCTGTCTCATGCTCATGAGAATAGTCACACGTCCACCGCACCACTTGACAATATTGTTCACACTTCAATACATATCTACTTCATTATCTACATACATCTGCGGGACATCAAACCTGTGACAAGTTACAATCAACCAAATCAAGTGCTATAAGTCAAGTCACATATGACCCACTTATAGCCGACCAGCTTCGACCTCCATTCACATAATTGTGCTAAAATATTTCCGCGGATACCTACTACACGCCTCAGCCTGACATTTAGCATAAAGTAATATTTCAAAAGTGTGTTGCCAGCCTCGCGAATATTTCTGCTAATTTATATTCAAATCGATTCTCAATCAGTCGGATACAAGTTGTGGAAATGTCGAAATACATTTGATGAGTGATTGATAAAGTTAATTATTAATCGGAATCAATCGATAAATCATGATCGAGGTTAGTAATTAGAAGAATTCGTGCCAGTTGTCTGATTGCATATTAAATGAAGTAAGTGAAGCAACGAGTACGAGCTGTAGCTGTGCTGTCAATAACTCTGCGTGCAGTCTGTCACAGACAGGGTGTTTGTAAATACTAGTCTTAGCACTAATTAGTGCACGATAACTGATTGCCGCTATCAGTGTTATCACAATATTTAAGTACGTCACTGTTTATCCTAATTTAACAAGCCAGAATATCACAAAGGTTACAATTTATAACTAATTATTTTATTCTTACTTATTTACAAGGTATTTGAATTTGTAACTAATGAAGCAGTAGATATGTCCAGCTCGACACAGCACATTGCCGACAGATACCATAACTGTACTGACAAGATGTGGATCGAGACAAAAGAAGGAGTTGATGGCTGCTTGTCATAATGCGGTGATCGGTTACAATCAATGAAGCCGGTAATGAAGGCTCGTGCGGTGTTCCGGCGCAGCGGCCGGCGGCGCGGGCGCATAGCGGCGCGCTTTTTGTTATCGTTCCGCTCTCATACACACACGCGAATTCTTCGCCGGGCGCTGCGCGGGCGGCCTGGCTTGCCGCGGCTATCAATATCTCACTGACCACTACTGGATACTTTGTTAATGATAACTCGATCTGATCCTCATGATTATGCTACATGTTTAGATTAACCAGGTCTAACCGCCACCGGAGGAACGAATACGTGTGGATTATAACATTGATTATACACATATTATTATTTTTGTCTTTTTAAGTGTTCAAGTACCAAATGTTTCAAGAATTAAACCCCTGTCATAATAATTAATTAACAACTTATTGATAACCTAGTAGTACCAACAAATGTACTGACTGACCAGACGTACTGTACTGTGACCTGCCTCGGTGAGAGAGCAGCACGAGCAGCCTGGGCAGCTCGACTATTTGTCATAGCGGTGGTGCTGCCCGTTGAGATCGGTGCCGTCATCGGCATGCTGATCAGTGCCTCAGGGTGCCTAACTACCTCTTTTGTTTCAATAGCGTTACTTCATTTTTAAACTAAAAACCAAAACTGTTATAAGAATCAGGATATGAACGTCTTCCACAGAACTTGCGAAAGAAATGTTACTTAGAATTTGTGTTGTAAAATAATTTCGACAACTTTTCCTCAGTGACAACCCTAGCGTTGTTCAATGGCCAGTTGACGAAAGTGAGCAGTTATTGTGCGTACGCGCAGCGGCTGAGAGTGGCGCGAATTCATTACATATCTCTTTTTGTATCGTCTCCTCCAGTTATTGCTTTGTAGTCTGTAACCGTGAACTAGTTATATATATAGAGCTGTTACAGTCGTGACAATTTTACTTCAACCTGGGAAATAAGTTGGTCATCCATCATGTTGTAAATGGGAAATAATGTAGATCAATGAAACTAATCACAGAATTTAATTAAATAAACTTTAAAAAAGTCGTTTGATACGAAACACGGCACAGTCAAGGTTAAATCAACGCATTGACGGAAACATGTTGCTTTTTGTGTCTATTAACAGAAATATTTTTAGAACCAAACTATAATGTAAGCGTAAGACAAGATAAAGAGAAACGAGCAACAGATTATGTTAATCGCATACAAAACATTTGATCATTTTATATGTAAGGAGGAAGGATGACGCATACTGAGGTAAAAGAAAAAGAAATTGTTTGAGGTATTTTATGAAAACGCGTGCGATTGAGACTGTCACGTCTGTAGTGACATGAAGACGAACTTATTGCTGACAAATTGAATTGTTATTAGATGCAAGTCTTACTGTGATATAACGTAGCACGCATATACATAGGTACTATTTGTATGCGTACACGCAGATATTTTTTTAATCTACGGAGATGTTTGTAGGTGACATCGAGGACATACACACGTGTAGAAAAAATATAAATAAAATAAAAAATAAATAAAAATAAAATAAAAATGCCCTTTATTCCACTAATTACAATGTTTTAGACAAAACTTATTTAGATTTAAATCATTTCAAAGTAAACAAATGTTAATTAAAGAAAAAATATAACACTCTTTTAATTAAACTTTTAAATAATAATTCATCATTTGAATGGTTGAATAGTGTCGGTTTGACAAATTACGCTCATTACCGGACATTGTCAGTGACACTGTTTGTTGTAGATCTGTTACTAAGCGGTGCGCCTGCGCACGCGGTATTACTGAGCTAAATATTTGCGGCCGTTTGTTCTTGTTTCTTTATGTTTTTGCCAAAATTACCGTTTCACAGAGAAAACAACAACAGAGTGATATTTAGTGAAAAGAGAAACGAACTGCAGATTATGTTAATCTTATACAAAACATTCGCTAAACTTCTAAAATAAAAAGTTTAAATATAAATGTGCAAACGTAGCGGAAACGACGACGCAGCCCGCGATCAGATAGAGATCAACATACTAGGAGTCTGCATACATAATGTGATAATATCAAAATTAACGAGATATTTACCGTCAAGATCTAAAAAAGACGCAGAAAATCAACGTCAAGTGCATTTTATAAAAACAGATAATCCTTATTTTGGGCAATAATTTCATTAGTTGCTCATGTACAACGAGGTGGAATAATTAAACGATTGAAGACGGAAGCCACTTAGTTTTTTGGGCCCTCAACAAACAAAACTGTACATTTACAAAAACTATGTAACATAAGTAGGGGCGTGTCAGCTTATCAATCAATTCAGGAAGGACCTGCGCACGCGCAACGCGGAACACACTCGCAACCTGACGTGTGTCAAGTTTTTATAACTAATCATTTAGTTTTTGCGACCCACAGGACCATATAGAACAGGTTCGAGTCTAGGCTGATGTATTTATATTTCTAGTTGTGTAATTAATAGACTAGTCACGTACTTGTTTAATTTGTATATTTTAAAATTTAAAAAAATATGCGTGACATGAACGTCCGTATGGTCAAAGTTGGCGACAAATCATTTAGATAATTCACACGTGTAGTGTAATAAAGGCTTTATATTCCAAGGTTTATTATGTCAGTGTATCAAATTGATTGTTCAAAGTATGTTATTACAGTAATGTTTACAAGATTATACTTTAACCTCACGATCTGTAGTGGTTTGTAATTAATACGTGTATAGTGTGCTTGCGTCTGCGCACATCTTCGTGTTACGTCATCGTTCGTGACGGTGGTTGGGCAATGTAACCTCATACTGCCCCATCACACGACCTGTACGTTCAATTACGCAGGACAAGTGGTTAATTGCTATCTGAATACCGTGGTACATGGTAAACACTAGGATTATTATGCCCTAAACACTTCACATTAAGAATAGTTGAAACCAGTTAGAAATTAAACGTTTTATCATTGGCAGTCAAAATCACCATAAGTGTAAAACTTTTATGTGAACATAACTTGTCTTCAACGCTACGCGACAACGCGTTGATGTCTTTTGTGTGGGCGTTTTGCTCGTAGCAATTTTGCTACGAGGTAGCATGAGTGCGTAGCGCAATGTGAAAAGCGAAGAAAATAAATAAATGTCTGTTTCATAATTGCTAATTATAGTGCAATTAATGAAATGTTAGATAATATTGACTTTTCGGAAGTAGTGTTTAACAGTTGTTGTTGCACAAATTATATCAACCAATTATTTTTATTTGGTGTTTAAGTTCGTGTTATATGTCAATCGGATGGTAACTACTTACTTAACTATTAATCAGGTATACGAGTTAAAAATTATTATTATTATCAGTATAATGGTACGTCGTTGACATGTAACTAATTCATGAAAGCAATTATCATAAAAACTCGTATCATTCCAGTAACGCCTCAATAATTTCAGTTAAACTGATACTAAACGGTTCTGCTTTAAAAAAATACAACGAACCTCATTTGAATAACTCACTGACTGCCTATTTACCCACAAATATAAACACGTATTTAATATTCAATTGCAACTGTTTCGTTATTCGCACAACTGAAGTTTGTAGTAACAACACGGATTCAGTAACTTATGGACCGCGTCAGGCAACACGTTTGCTCTTCCACAAGGTAAGGGACTCATAACTTTATCGCTAAAAAGTGCTAACTTATTTTACTTCTTTTATTCCCTTTGCTAATAAACGGTGTGATGTTATGTGTATAAAATTGAACAGAGTAGTCGCTACAACATTATTTCGAGGTATTTCGCGGCGCTTCACGTTTAGTTGCCGGCAATAAGTTAACAAATGATTCGGAAAAGTAATTTCGTTCATTGTCAAAGTAAATGTTACAAATTGTATAACTGGCGTGAGTAGCGAGTCACTTCGCGTTGCGTCTCATAACTCGACAGTAAAACATTTTCAATGACAAGAATATTAACACACACATACACACATGAAATAGAAATAAAGAGTATAAGTTCACTGACCGTGCTGGCAGGGTGTGCGGGCAGCAGCACCAGCGGCGGCGGCTTCCTCTGCTTGCGCACGCCGCGGCGCCGGGCGGCAGGCACCGCCGCGGCTGGCGCCCCCAGTACCGCCGCCGGCGCTTGCTGGCGCCCCAGCCACCGCGTCACCAGCTTCTCTTTGCTGTTCGCGCTGCCGTACTCTGGCTCCTCCTGTGAAATTATTTTGCTATAACACAAACTCAATTCCACTTCATTCGATAAGCGAGCATTGATTATGGCAACTACAAATAAAGACTGATGTCAGATTTGCCTTTCAAAAGGTATTAAATGACCAACCTTCTTCTTATTACTGTCTCCCTGTAGCTTCACTTCCAACTCTTTGCAGAGCTCGTGGTTGCGCACGCGCTCCACATCGTGCGCCTTCTTCACCTCGTCCACCGTCACCACGTACTGCTGGACGGGCTTGAAGGCAGGATCGAACTGGTTGTGCTCGAAGGCTTGCTTGGGCCGGAAGCAGGGACACACCCGCTTTGACAGGTGGTAGATACTGATGATGCACAGCAGACAGTGCGCGCTCGCGATGATCAGCAGCGCGATGTTTGTGAGCACCGGCGTCCATGCTTCCATCTCATCCTGTGGTAGAGAGACCACGGTTAGTGTTGTTATAACACGTCTGACTGACAACCAACACATCAACATTACTATCAACAGTCGAAAGACATCTGCTGGTGAACAATGAATACTCCCCCTTCCCCTCCCTAGGGGGTAGTTTGTCATAATCCCTACGCTTTTAGATCACCTGGTGGTTGGTCGATTTTAATCTGTGTTCGGTGTAAACCCGAACACCTGCTTGCGAAGCAGTTTTCATGTATTTTCCTAACATGAACATACGACACGTTAGTGTACTTGTCGATCGCGAACAGAACGGGTGCATTCATCATATAACAAAACATTAACATTTCTAACATTTTTTAACATTTAACATTAACATTAAGAAAGTGCTTTGAACTCCATATGAACAATAAACTTTTACGGTCACTTATGCGTTTGATATCTACCTACGACCTTACACCCCGTACAATCTGTATAAATGAGAGAATCAACTAAGTGACTGATAGGTAATGACACCAGAACTTAAACAAAGAATTGTACACGTAAGAAATGTATATAACTTTGTAAAGGTCAACGATGGAAGTCTTTAAGCAATCACTGTTTTAATCGTTAAGATAATGATGTTCTCTTCTCGCCATAAATACCAAAATGATCTCAATACATAATAACAGCGGCTGTGGAGGGAAGGCAATGTCAGCCTCGAGTCAAGGACTGGGTGACCTCCTGGTAGGCGGCCACTATGCTACGGACTGAGCCGTGAGCCATCATCTGTCAGTATTGTACTATAATGGACACGTGTTGAGTTGTACCATTCCTACATAACGTGTATGTAATGAATACCATTCTTATTAAGTTGTCGGTACTCGTTCACCGGTACCGTATTGACTGACAAATTGAACCGCTCTGTTGAGAAGTTAAACTCTTGTTTTATGAAGATCATTAAAAACCGAACCACAATACTGTATTTACAATGTACATACATTATAATAAGATTGATATGGTAATTTATTATGTAGTTTTATTTCACAAGAATAGTTTATTCGGTGTCTAATAAATTGCTTGTAATGTAGGTTTACGTTATAATCAGTGATTGCTTCCCACAGGAGCGCGGAACAATGTGTTCGGCGCCGAACAATATGGCTCGTAAATATCTTTTAACACGACTACTACAGCAGCAAATAATTAGACATATATCATAATTATATCCGTTACCGTAATATACCGTTATAATCATTAGCATGCATGTAAAGTGCATACAAAATGTTAATGTTGCATACCGTCTTCTTTGCACCTTAAAGCCTTGGATACACTAGGGGACAAATGATTCGTAGTGGACAAATGACAGATACGGTGACAACGCGCATATGCGGTGTGGTTGCTGTTGCTAGACATGGCGACCAAATTACGGCAACGTCGCGCTACTTCACCCGATGTCGCTGGCGACACGTGGCGCAGGAATTTGTCATCCTTGACTTAAGAATTCAGTAACGTCAAACCAAATATTGTATTAAGAAGTTTTGCTGTCCTTATGTTGCAGCGTATTCAATAAATGAGTTTTGTTAATAACCTTGTTTCGAATTTATACCTCCTTTGTGCCTATACCCACTTCATATTTCCACAAATATAGTTGGCTCCATGTACAGATAAACATACTTATTGTCTACTCTTATATATATAATTCTTAAAAAGATCTATATGTTATATTTTATGTTTAACGGAGCCATCTAACAGAGCAGTCTCGTGTAGTATCCACTGAGTATCCACTGAGTAGGTACTTACTTCGTCTGTACTGAGTTGCTGACCGTTACGTTTTGTGTGGTAACTTGGTAAGATGTTATTTTAATGAAGCAGCAGGGCAATGACCCCACCCGCTAGTTATCTCACGAAGTACATACATACACAAGTGCCTGAAACTGCCAGCTTTACAACTTTACTATCATTAGCATCGATCACCTTTACGAACAGCATTAGTGATAGTTATGGTACTCTTCATCTGTGATAGAATAGTATTTAAAGTTGTCGTGAGGCAAAATGTTATACCGACATGTTGGTTTTCAAATTAACTCAGTAATGTAGTCTGCGACAAAAGATACTTTGAAATATGTAATATAAAATGTATTTCTCATGTAAGTGAACTCTGTGCAATGCATGTTCTTCTGAGAATAAAATTGTTTAAACTCAAAAACTGTTCGGAAACCTTTTTTAATAATCATAACACAAATCCTTTGGAGCTACACCGAACACATTACATAGCCAGACATATAATTTACAAAATAAATGAAAAATATGGTTTCTACATGTCTACGAGTAGTATGAAACTATGAGGCACTGGTTCACATTGTGTAAGTGTAATTAGAGCTCCCAATAGTACGCGTCACGCAGACATCATCGTGCCGTCATTCGTGACTTGTGTCATTACACGTAATCGCAGGGTCTTGGGTTCAACGCCGGCTGATGTCAACCTTGACTGGACACTCGCAACATCCGCTCGTCTGCACCAGATTATATTAACCTTACTGATGTTGAATTACAAGTATTGGGAGCTTGTGTACTGAACTTATTAGTAAGTTACGTGGATTATAACAGTTAAGTAATATGTTGTGTTTGTAATTGTTTCTGTTTACTGAAGAATTATGTTAAGGAGACAAATGAAACTGAAATTATTACTCGGTTAACGCAGTGGATGGGACAATGGAGGGGCACTACGAAACGTGTCGCGGGTATGATTTCGGAACGAACAACTTTTTTGTGTGACTCACGAGTTGCTCCTTCATGTTAATTACATGTTTACATAAGTGTTAGTAGAAGTACCCAAGACATGGAAAAAGTCTAGAGTAGGGAAATGTATAAAAAATATGAATGGTACAAATGACTGACTGATATTCTTAGTAATGAATAAAGGTAAAAGATAACATCCATAATGAACCAACGAACTACACGATGTAGAACAAGGCTGACTCGAGCACTCTCTGCTGGTACTCGTCACTACGTGCATCATGCCCTGCCCATTAGCCGCCATGCATCACATACATGACACATGTCAGTCGGTAACCTTCTGCAATCCTCGTCCGATCAAATAGACACTCAAGTTTTAGGTAAATTATAATTATAATGATACCAAGCAAACTTGCACTGATTTACGTTAAATCTCGTTAACCAACTGTCGGTTTCAGTACATTTAGTTTGTTTAGAAGATAAATTTCATACAAAAATGTGGTAAAATATTGTCTGTATTAGCCAAACCTATCGAAAGATCGGCTACACCTGAGAGATTAAGATGTCTCTAGTTGTTGTCTGAGTTTGTTTCGGCTCTTCTCCTTAGAACAGTCAGTTAGAAAATGTTGGCCTCATCGTTCGCTTGATATTTTTCAATCCATTTGTATATCTGTCTTAGATTATTTCGAGTGTTCGTTATTCTCAGCTTCATAATAATGTGGATAGCTGTTTGAAGACTAAGTAACCCTAAAACATGTAAAGTGAGGAAATACTTGCAGTGAAGTTATTTGTGTAGATGCAGTTCCTAGAACATGCAGTGAGGGGGTTGCGTAACATGTGTGGACATAAGTACTTTAGTCTAAGTACTTAACGACATATTTAATTTATTCAAGTAACGGTTTACACCCGTAGTGTGTGGCTAATTTAATGGTTCAGTGATAAAGACGCTTTCAGATGTATTGTTCATTTTATTTAAATTCAACAGTTTGTTTTACTACTCATAACTTTGCCGTGCAGTTATCGCAAAACACATAATCTAAAAATACACGTGCAGTAAATCTTTAGATTATTATTGTTCTACGACTTAAATATTACGCCCCCATCACTACTGACTGAATGATGGTCGCCAACCTGCATCAATCAAAAACACTGTCCGTGGCACAATATTTTGCACGTTTTCCTCTCCAGTACATTGGTACCATGAAAGTATCTACAAATAGGCGCGACTGATAGCCAGTTATTTATGCAAGCGAGTGCTTGCCCAACGGCCAATAAATAGCCGCGGCCGATGCAACACCAGATTGTATGCTAATGTTGATAACGTCTAATTGAGTCAATTATCTCGACCACAAGTACTTCGACTGGAAGACGTGACGTCCACGTCCACGTCACTCGAGAGTTTCACTGCTAGCTGGGTGTTGCTGATACTGATTTATTAATTACTGCCTCACCGCTCCAGTATTGGGAGTTAATATCTTAATGTTTATATTGTTGCTAGACTGTAATTAATTGCAGTTTATCATGTGCCTGCCTTAACTGAACCGTTTAACGGCTGTAGCAACCGAAGTTAATCAGATATTTCAGTATTTGAACGATCTATACTTGACATTAAATTCTATCGAGTTTCTATCAAAATTTAGATTAATTCAGTGATTATGAATTAAGATCAGCTGGTCGCCGATTTACGAAACACTCACGCCCAGTAGTGACCGTTAAAGGTACATATTGTGTTTGTATGTGGTACTCACTTCGAAGCTGGCGGGCGTGGTGGGCTGGCGCAGCGAGTCGCGCTGCAGGCCGGTGGCGGCCAGCACCGCGGCGCTGTTACCGCACGCCAGGCACAGCAGCGATAGCGCCAGGAACGCCGTCAGCAGGGGACTTCTGTAACAAGTACTATCATCATCACACTGTTCTAGTGTACTCACAGCTGCTGGTAAAATTGTTAATGTGGAGCATCATAAATAACTATAAACTACTGTTGTTTCTTTCATCATTATCATATCAGACACAATTAAGACAACTGTTCAACGTAGACATCCCCCAGAGGTTCATTGTAGAACATTTTCAAGAGAGTTTTAAAAGTCATATCTCAACTTCTTGTTTTCTAAAGGACTCCAATAGTGACTGAGAGTACATTATGTACCCAGTATGTGAATCAAACGCAATGTAACATCTAACCGAGTCTCGATCCCTCGTCCCCGCACGTCGTGACTGCGCGTGCGACCTCTGTGAACTACCGGTAATTGAAACAGCGAAAGTTTGCGCTGAACAGTCCATCTTCACTATTACAGTTAATTGTATAGTACTGAACTGAACATAACTTGTGATCGGAGGTTTTGTTGAAACTTTCAATACGGTACTCAATATATATCAAATAGTGCCTAATTATTATGTAACCTATACTTTTGCTAATAATTATAGATGTAGTTAATTGTAGTATGTAACTAGGTTCCCTCTTTACTTTATAAATATTGACTAGATGTATTATAATTAAAAAACTGTATGACAAGGGCACGGACCTAGAGTCCGTGGAGAAATAATCTTTAATATTATAAAAAAAAAAAAAATACGGTACTCAAATTACGACGAATATTATAGTCTGTGGTGTCAACTATTAACTAATCAATGTAACATGTATTTTATACCTATTTCGAATTAAAATTTATATGCATAGATGCATGACCAAGTTAGTGTACACAAATATATGTTTACATTTACTATCAGATTGCCCATCTATTTATATTATTTTTATCTCCTAAACACTAAACGTTCTAGTTCGCATTCCAGCACAATATTCGCGACACAATCGAGGCCGCAGTGTGTGCTAGTGGTAGCCATCAATCTCGATATGAAACGAATAATTAACAGCAGCTATAGAGAAAGTATAGACTCGGTATCATATAATTAGGGTGTCGATACAGACGAGCAGCGCCGGGGGGCGCGCCGCAACACGAAAGTGATAAGGAAATAATAGAATGCTCCGCTCATCTCATTGTAACGAACACGAGAAGTAATACGTCAGCATTACAACCAGTGTGAAGTATGTAGCTTGAATAAACTGTACTTCCATGATTTTAACATGTAGGACCTACTTACACGACAACACGATGACTTTGACATGTAACTAAACTGTATTATTAAACTTTATACTGTGCTACTACGATACTTAAAACAATACTGTCTTTTGTACGCACAGATATAATAAAGAAATTTTAATATTTCTGCGTTTGTACGTATATGTTTTTAATCAGCACCCAGTGAATTATGACGTAAAGTCCGGCCTTAAAGACATCATAATCACATCCACCTCGTAAACAAACTCGTTACAAATAGAAACCCTGGGTGAAGAGCACATTACGAGATTTCATTACAGCCTTCGTGATCGACCAATCATTAAACAGTTTATCTTAGCTACATCATCTGCGCAGGCGCCGCTCACCATCAATCATGGATCGCTACAATCTTCCTTTCGGCACTACCAACTAATTATTTTCTCCCGTGATTGTCGCTTGAGAATCGACCGTGATGTGATGACGTTATGACACAAATTGGTTTGCGTGACGTAAGTATCGTAGGTGAGTGAAAGCATGTTACGCGATGTGCACTTGTCGCGTGGAGTCACACTGTTACTGATAATGCGACAGTAATAATAATTAATACTTTATCCAAATAAATTCATCGCCATTAGCATTTTGGCGATTTCGATGATGACTATAATACAGTCAGTCAGTCAGAATCTCCAGAATAGCCACTTCTAGCACTTCTGACTAATTTATAATGATGACTGTGAATGACAATATACACTGGGGAAGTTAAAGATTTATTACTGAGCTACCGAATGCAGCAATACTGCACTTATTAATAAGCAATGGAACAGAAAGCGTTGTGAGTGGCAACACTGAGTAAAATACTGCTAGTTAGCGGGGACGTGCGAGAATGTGTCAATGGTGCACCATCAGACTAACGTTGCTAGAGATCTATATTGATGAATGGATGAATGCAATTTTGTAAGTATATAAGTACCCAGTTGTAAATTAAACAACAAATGATTTGAACCATTCAGCTTGATGTCTCATATTCCAACCAGTAATGCCCGTCTTTATCAATCTCTCCTAAGATCTGTCTATGTCATCATTTTGATTTTCAACAACTTATGAGTGTCACCTAACAGTACACGTAAGGCGTTAGTTTAAGTACTACGTGACGCTAAGTCTCTTTAGTTGGGAGAAGGTTTACGGGTGTTTGGTGAAAATGATCAGAATACAATCAAAATAATACTTAAAGTAGACACTTAGTTTAAATGTTCAGATGTTCAATGAATGAGACACAACGCCTCACTCCAGTGTGCAGTTGACAGCTTGTCACCAAGTTTGCGCACGATAATGCCATGTGCCTGCGCACGCGCACTCTAGTGTTACGTGAGAACTGACTGACTTCCTGTGTCGTCAGCTTACTGCACGTAACTACAGACTAATGTCCTAGGTTCCACTAACGGTGTGATAACTGTCTCGGTTCGATGGTCACCAGTACCACACCGTGTTGCCCTGACTACTGTCCGCCAGTATGTTTCGCATCCCTAAATCTAATTGCATTAAGATGGAAGGAACTTTGGGCCGATCAATTCCTGACTTTTCAATGTTGTTTTTAGATAAAAATATTTTAACTGCTAGCTGTGCGACATCGCCACGACCCTGCATGCTGCTCATGAGGAAGAACCCCTCTGTGGCTCGAAACTAGTAGAACTTTTCTCAGTATATTCATATTCACGCAAGTAACCTGCGATTTTAGTTAATTTAATATGTTTCACGATAGTTGAAAGCCTCTTTGCTTTCATCACCCCCCTTCGTGGAGGTCCCACCGAGATAAGAATCCTCATTATAATGACTGCCTCTTTGGCCGAGTGGTCGTAAGTGCGACTGCCGGGCAAGGGGTCTCGGGTTCGATTCCCGGGGCGGGCAAAGTATTACTGGGTTTTTAAATATTCTCAGTAGTAGCACGGAGTCTGGAATTGTGCCCGGTATATATGGCAATAGGCTCACCCCCTATTACATGGGACTCATAACATAAATAGTGAAAAGTCGGTGTTACATTGTACAGTGGTATAATGTGCACCTCTGCCTACCCTTTCGGGGATAAAAGGCGTGATGTTATGTTATGTATGTTATGAAACTGTTACCTTGTTGAGTCCAATGTGCTCGACACATTTGTTGTATACACGTTGTGGTTACTAAAATACTGCTTCAGTTCTTATTTACACGTGCACCTCTGCCTACCCCTTCGGAGATAAAAAGGCGAGATGTTATGTTATGTTTCTTATTTACACTTCGCTATCACTGACATTTGAAGAGATAACTACCTAAAATTACTTATAATAAAACATATTTTCTTACGACAATTTTAACTTTAATACGACCTCGTGAAATTAAAAATCGATTGCAGACTAGGCTAACTTGACGAGCTTCTGACTGTACAATAAGATGGCAATCTCGCAACCATCAGCGGCGTCCTTTCAGTGGCCACTGCGGTAATATAATAAATTTGTTATCTCCTATTCCCAGTACGTGTATAAAGGTCGCCATAAAGCGTCTTCAATAAAAGATATTCAATTAGTGCTGTAAAGTTGAAGGAATGCTTTGAGGTAAGGGTATACGAGTGAGCCTTCCCACATTAAACAAAAAACTATCACCATATGAGTAGTATTTAGCACATCTGTTTGAACTTTTCACATTTTATGTATTTTAGGTTCATGGTGATCCGTAAAATGGACGCGAACAGGCGAACTTACCCTAACTACACCCATTACTTAGTTTAAATACATATGTATATTTGAATCATAACACGAGTACACGACCCGCCCTCCATCGTCCAAGATCAGCAATTTATAGATCACACAAAGAATTGTTTCGTGCAGGAATCGAACCTGCGACATGTTACGCATCAGCCTGATGATTTGATGCTTTTAAATTAAAACACTACAATTACGAAGTAGACCAAACTAGATGAAAACATTCGGAATATTGTTCGCTTTGCGCCTGAATCGAGACAACCTCGTCAGGTGTTCAGACAGAGCAGTCTAGTACTGTCTGTCTGTCTGTAGCTTACAATCCATTCTGTGAACGCGACAGGGTGACGTGTTTAACATAACGCTGTCGGACACAGACCTGACAGCAGACTTGTTACTATCTACGTATCGGACTAAACATTGGAACAACTAGATTTCGGAATATTGTCAATTGTATCTATACACCCGGAGCTACGGACAACCTAACGGGTTGTCGGGACTCCAACTCAGCTCCAGAAATAAGAACGGAGTGGTATTTAGTAAGTAAGAGTTAGTAAGCGTCTGACACTCCTTCTCGCCTCACCCACAGCGCGAGAAGCCCCGGATTATTTTCACCCATTACAAAAAAGTATAAGATCTATCTCTACACATTACAAGTAAACAAATATACAAGTTCCTAATTAAGATGAAGTTCGCTTTTTATTTATTTGCGTGTGAGTGTAAATCTCACGCCGCGTCGTGCTCGTGACTGCGCGGTAAGTTACCCAAACGTAGATTTTGTTAAATAGAGTAAAATGTTTTCAGAACATGTAATTAAGTGTATAAATTACTAATAATATGTTTGTGAGCACTCGCTGCAGGGAACTACACGATGTCGTTGTTAACTGTAAACGTTATTTTTGTTTTATAATCAAGTCATTGTTAAAACGAGTGCAAAATGTTTAAATAAAATTACTGTCAAAACAAAATCTTAAACCTAATATTTTATATCTTTACACATTCTTATGAGAAGTTTCACTCAACAGTTATATGTATAACCATAAAGAGCTACAAGTACGAGGTTCAATAAGGAAATGGCCACAAAAAGCAGTCGAATGCAAATGTACTAGCATATCTCACAGGTTCCAGAAGTGGTTCCCAGCGCGGAGAACACAATGCTGGCACTACAAGCTAACAGTTAGCCGCGCGCGCTGCGCATCACGCGGGGAGGAACACACGCGAGTGACGCAACGGTACTAGAGGAGCGTCATTGTGCACCGTGTTGTAATGTAACTACATGCACTACTGTGTATGGAGGGCTGCTAAATATTAAGAAGTGGACTGCACTGAGGAAGGTGAAAGATGATTATGGCCGGTTAAGTATGACGACTTTAGAACTGGACAATGCATTCATAAATGTAGTTCAAAACAAAGTCTCCCTCTCAAAAATTGTTGAACATTTTTCTACATAATAATTTTTATTTGATTTAGGAAAGTATTATTAAATTCATACTTTGTAGCTATGGTGGAGTCCCGTGCAGCAGTAGACGAAACTGCGAGCAGAACGATATATTATGTTAAAACAAATGCTATGATGCACGCACGAAATTCCAAGATTATGTTTTGATAGGACAAATGAAGATATAGAATTCAGTTTAAGCTCCACGTTACACCACACGATGCAACTGCGCACAGTGTCGTATGCACTCACATCTGCGTGTGCGCAGCGGAACATAACACGGTCCGCTGCACAACACTCCCGCGCATACATACTAAGATATTATAATATGTAGTAGATACGCATACTTGTTGTCAGGAAACGTTTGGTTACTTGGAACTCCATATATTATTATGGAGAAACGCCAGTTGCTGAACCAACTTGCCATGTGGAGTGTGCCAAATGAAGGAGACAGATCTCAATATATTAAGATAAATAACAACTTCATACATCAATGAGACTGTAATACAATTCATGAATGTTAGTGTTTTCAGTTCATCATCATCGTTTTTAGATTCTGTAGCCATAATGGTGGTAAAGTTCCGAACCCATTGTAGTACACAGACAAAATATGTGTAAATAGGACACATTGAACAACAAAACTGCAATATCTTAAAAAATGAATATATCTGTTAACCGTCGCCTAGCAGACCTAGTGTTTTCTCATGAATTAATGTATTTTTAATCTCCTTCCGTCCAGGGACTGGCTGAGCTGTGAGCTCTCAATCACTCCGGCTGTAATGTCTTCTTTATGTGCACAGCTCGAGGAAATCCAAGTTTATTGTGCATTTCCGTACTAACATTAAAAGGTTAATTAAAGGAAATAACGCTAGCTATATTACTCGCCGCGACTTTATTCTAGTGTTCTGTATCTCAGCTTTGCTTGTTGTTACCAATCAGTTTCAAATATGATTAACTCAGCTTTGTAAATAACCAAACTGTTCTGCTTTTGCAAAGGTAACTATAATATATAGAAACTAATTTGGTTCATTTCAATTGATGTGTCTTCAGCACCTAACTATGATCGTCTATACCTGATGTCGTTTGTTAAGTAGTCGGCCATATTTGGCGACAGTGTCTTTTCAGTGGCTTTGTAGATTTGCATAGTTTGAATAAAATTTGCAGTATTTGTGATCACTAGAGAATAGGCAGTTATTTTATAACCATTTTAACTAAGTATTTCCTGAAATGAATCAGAAACTACCGTCCACGTGTGAAGACGACCTTTGCTATTACACAACAAGTATGTAACTGAACATTATGTGCAGAGAAAGTGCTGGACTTTCGACAAACAACTCGGTTGCTATGGCAACGGGTTCGTGGAATGTTGCTGCGGACTTCCTACTTCCTTACTGAAGGATGTTTGGTGAGTTGGCGAGGAAAGCGGCTACTGTTGTGGTATGTCTTATTTATGTAATAGTATATAATAGTAATAGTTCATAGTAACTGTCAGACTCATATTTTTATTTTTTTTATTAACAAGTATTTCATTGTCAGTCGACTGAAAAGACATAATATTATAAGTAGCTAGATGTCTAGATCTCAATGAAACCTTGACTGCTACGTATAGTCCTCTGTCTTCTAAATATTTGTTAAATTACTCCATTGTTTCAACCGGTTGTTGAGTGAAAGGTCACGGGTTCATCGCCGGCGCCGGGCAACAGTTGTTATAGTGTTTGTTTTGAAAGTACATCAACATTACGTCACAGCGTGGCAACTGATTGATGGCTCATTACGTGGGACAGGTTGCTCTTTATAATTTTCCCATTGCATCTTTGATTATTCAACTGAATTTACTTCTCAAACGATTTGTCTAGTTTAACCGATTTCAAAAAACACTGAGACCCCTCAGTGTGACCTGTGTATGTATGTATGTTCATATGTTTGTTTGTGCTCGATAATCTCGCGATTGGCTGAACCGATTTTGACGCTCTATTCAGAAAAGTGTTTGTTACACGTAGGAGAAGGTTTCAGTATATTAATTAACCGAATTTAGAAAAAGAGGGCGTTGAAGAACATAATTATCTTTACAAGCCAAGTGAAGGCAATATGGAGACACTGTAAACTTTGTTAACACGTATGACGCCTATGTACATGTTCCCTTGTTTGCAAATGATTTAATGAATTTGAATTTGAAGTCAGTTTTCTCAAACGTAGTAGTTCATTAAATAATTTATTGCTAATATACAGCAAGCGCAACCCAGAATGAAAGACGTAAATTGCAAAATAATGAGATTCTTTATGAAGTAAGTTGTTATGTTTACTGAATGCGAATTCCGTAGCTTGAATAAGCGAAAGATTAAAATATATCTGAAAATCAGTTATTTGTGTGCTACGATAGGAAACACGATTCGTTATTTACAAAAACACATTAGAATTTGTTTCTCGGTCGTCGCTTTATTCAGCTTCTCCAGCTCTGAGCTAGTAGTTTACTGCTATATGATTTATTTTATTTCCTCTAAATGCTTTACGATGAGACGTTCGAAGACTCTAATATAAATATTTCTCGTTTTTCTACTAAAAATTACTACCAGTGCCCCGAGCGGGCCGTGCCATGATGCCATCACTGACACACATATTTGGTTTGAACTAAGTTTTTGCATCAGTTCGAGATGCCCCGAACTTGTTTGCGTTCCCAGTAAAAGTAGTTTTCTGTGCTAAATTTAAATTACAGCTGCGCCCGCGCCGCTATCATTCCGAATTTTCTATCGAACATCGAATATCATTACTAACATATTACCAATATTCTAGTAAAGTGAGTCGAGTCTAGTGTCGCGCCGTGTCCCCGCCCGCTGCTGGCCGGCTTGTTTGTTTGTTTCGCTTCAGATAACTTTCACTTTAATTTACATCTCACGTACGAAAATATTTTGTTATTAACATGTTACACTTACTGTCTATTTTCTGACGAGAGCTTACAGAGCGTTGCTAAGCTTATTAAGCATGCGATCAATTGTATTGTTTGACAGTACTCGCGTATAATTTAAATAGCAATAATAGATCTTTTTCTTACAACAGTCATTTCACTTGCCGAATTCATGGTCTGTTGCGTCAAGTATACCACTTCGGAAGAAACTATTCTAGCTCAGAATAAATCACTCAATAAACTCTCTCTCAGTACATTCCCGCGTGCTGTTGTGTTGACACTCACCCAGAGCTGGCGGCATTCAGTCCATAGCAGTCGTTGATGCCGGCGAGCACTCCGACCACCCCGGCCACCACGGCCACGCAGCCCGCCCACAGCCCGGCGCCCACGCGCGACAGTGCGGCGCCCTTCACCACGGCCAGCGCCCCGGCGCCCACCAACAGGGCGCCGAGAACCACCTGGCCAAGCCCCAGGAAGACGACGAGGCGCCGCCTGTCAGGTTCATCACTGCCTGCTTCAACACTCTTAGAACTCACACTCTTGTCTTTGGTCACTTTCTTAACTTTCTTCTGCGGCGTCTTGCATATGAGCTGCTCGGTGGAGTCCTCGGACTTGAGGCTGGACACCGTGGCGGTGGTAACTCGCGCGTCGTACGTGTCCACTCGCTCGGCGTCGGCCATGTCGGCGCATCACTGAAGTGCGCGTGCGCGGCGCTCGGCTCTTGGCAGCGACTGAGCGCGTGCGCCGCACTGTCGCGCCGGTGAAAGTCGCGCACCTGTCTTCTCTTGTGTTGATGTTGTCGTTCGCCGCTCATTGATAACAGATGCGACCTCGCTCGCTCGTCTGATAACGAAGTGTCCACACAGCTGTTTCGGAGCGGTTGTGTCTCTACCTGTCTACCACCAAATTTGTAAATGAGAAAATTGTTCGTATATTTAAAACCAGACCATACAAATAACGTAATTAATCGACATTTTTAACGAAATGGATTTTTTTAAACGTTGCCCCACACTAGGATTTTCTCCTTGGTCGTGCGTGCCTTTACAAATATACAAGTTCACATAAACATGAGAGCCAGACCCGGAGCAACAAGCTTTGGATCACACAAAGAGTTGTTCCGTACGCGAATCGAACCCGCGACACATTATGCGGCAGTCAGTTACCTGGGCGACTGTCTGGCCACCGCGCCATCGTGATATCGTTTTAAAAGAGTCTGAAGTCTGAGTACAGACTCACTGAAACTATAACGAGATCTATCTACCGAATGTATGTGTAATGTACCACAAGAAGTGCAGAAATAGCGTGCAACAGTAGGCTACTGGACCGCCAGTACAGCCGACTGACTCATTGTCTAGATTACACAGTACACACTGTAATAGTGGACCAGTAGCCAGTACTCGTGCGTGCCCAGTAGCCACTACTATTACTAGTACAGAGAGTATCACTAGTCCACCGGCACCTTCCATCAGCTGTCTTCATTTATCCCGGGCAGCACTTCCGGCCAGTACCGGAAACTGTAATACGAGAGGGGCGCGTGCGCAAGTAAACGCAGGTGTGTTAGAAAGTAAAGGAACACGTGTGGCGTGATAGACGAGTGTGGCGGGTCCGGAGTCAGCCGGTGCAAGTGTCGCGTTACGCGGCCAAGTCGCGTAAACTATGTGAAACTACTTAGCCAATTACCTATTTGACTCCCCCTCTCCCTTATTGGTGTGATATCGTATCATCTGTCTTGAACCTCACAGAAAACCGACGTAAAGCAACGCTTGCGTTGTGTTTCGTCGTGTGACCGAGGTCACCGGAAGCCCAATGTTATCCACCTCCCTTCCCCAATCTCCCCAATTCCAGAATCCCCAACGATTCTGAAAATCCTAATCACGGTAACGCACTTGTAACGCTGGCGTCGCTCATAGACACCTGGTGTTTTCAGGTGGCCATGAGCGACCTGAAAACACCAGGTGTCCATGAGCGACGCCGATTGCTTACCATCAGGTGATCCGCCTGCTCGTTTACCGGCTTACTCCATAAAAAAACCCCTCCCTCTCTTCTCATCACATTTCAATGCTCACTTCCATTAACTATGTAGTTTCACGGTGACAGCAATTCTGTAGTTTCACCTAATTAGAGTAAAAGTTTAAACTTGGAAATGTCAGATAGAACTTATTAGACAGGCTTTATCTACTTACAATAATATTGTTGTTCCATAACAGCTACGATCGTAAATATAACGTAACGCAGACACCTTGAATACATAACGCGGCCTACTGGCTCTACATCATCACGCCCTATGGCCACTGTGCAATATGTCATGGCATCATCACATCAGCCATTCATATCACATCATAACGCGTTAGATTACGTTAACGTTACGTCGTGGTGCATTCCCGCACCTTAGATGGGGAGAAACGATAACCTTCCAAGTGTGTATCAATTAGGTTGTAACGTGTAACGTAATTTGAATATTTTTAATTAGCTGTTCGAAGTGTGAATAATAATACAGAATGAGCAACCGGACAGTCACCTGCCAAGTATTGCACTAACCGCTGCTGGTCCAGTTCGAGTGCTTTTTTCTTTAGATATAAATATAATATAGGCAAGATACCGTCACTAATAGATGTGCTTAAGGTTAATAAAATGGGAAAATTTCTAGCTTCATTTTAAGTACCGTTCAATATCAAAATTGGAATGATCAACTTGACTGCTGAAATTGTCTCGAAACAAAAAGCAATGTTTTAATCTGTTCTCTACACCACCTTAATTTTTAGTCTGCCTCGCCGGTCGAGCGGTCGCAAGTGCGACTACCGGGCAAGGAGTTCAATTCCCGGAGTGGGCAAAGTATTATTGGGTTTTTTTTAAATCCTCTGCGTTTTTTCGCGACAGGAAATGTGTGAATACCGGGGTATATGGCAATAGACTCACCTCCTATTACATGGGACTCTTAACATAAATAGTAAAAGTGGGTGTTGCATTGTACAGCGGCACTGAGTGCCGTAATGTGCACCTCTGTCTACCCCTTCGAGGATAAAAGGCGCGGTGATGATGTTACTTAATTTTATTAATGTAAAAACCTAAATACACAAAGAATGAACGCAACACGGGGAGATGGAAGATATCAGTGAAACAACACGTACAGTCAGTAGCACACAATTTATTAGAATTAAGAACAATAGGAATATAATATTTCATCCACATTGATTTATTAGGAATAATAGGAAGATTGAATGCGCACAACAACCAAAGAGTGTACGTCGCACTCCCACACAGACCGGTACAGTGCAGTGGTTACTACCACAATACACTCGTCACCACGTGGCCACTCAGTCACTGCGCACGAGACGTCAGTCTGGTGTACTTGGCCGAGCATGTGGTCACAGTAACTACTTGGCGGTTGGTAGTTGGTACTTTACAGAATCTGCGCGGGTACCGGGCTGTGGTGTGGCGCCTTATTAAATGTTGTTAGCAAAGTCATGTTGTACGTATTGAACTTCCTTGTAAAGTGACCCTAACACATCGGCAAGTACTTTCGCTTCGTACTCTCACTACTATAACCTTATCATTAATAACACGCGTAGGTGGCAGGTACCATTATATCGTAGCTGGGAACACCAGCCGCCTGCAGTCTCCGTGCAGCTAGTGCAGCTCGTGCAGCTCGTGCAGCTCGTGCTACACCAGCCACGCTCGCTGCACAGCACCGCAGCCGACTGTGTGACTAAACTAAGATTACTGTCCTCGATACTATCACAACCACTTACAACTTTACATACTTAATTATTAACGCAGGTACTGAAGTATCGTTACACATACACGCCACGTCATTAAATATGAATATTATTCATACAATACAGGTACTTGCAATATTTACCTAAGTAAAATGTTAAATATAAAACTAATATTTTTTTCAATAAATGTCAAATAATTCACTAATATATAAAGTAGATAAACTACTGCTGCTTTCATAAAAGTACCATACATATACTATATTAATTAAACTTCGTCAAATTTTATTAATGGTTTACGTCAGTTGCGGGAGGTGCCTATGTACCTAAATCTTCTCCTACCTCATCCACTATGTACAAGAATTACTTGTCTCTGTATTGGTTTTTGATGAAGTCGGCGGCAATCTCAGCGATCATGACGACCGGCGCGTTGGTGTTCCCGCGCACCATGGTGGGCATGACGCTGGCGTCGGCCACGCGCAGCCCCTCCAGCCCGCGCACGCGCAGCTCCGCGTCCAGCACCGCGCCCAGCCGCGCCGTGCCCACCGCGTGCCACGCCGCCAGCGCCAGCGCACGCACCGAGCAGCGCGTGCGCTGTGGCTCCTGCAGCCCGCGGCAGCTCTCCGGGGTGAGGTCCACCACTCTCGCGCCCAGCTTTTTAAAATGTGTCGTGTTCACTAGGGATACCGCTTTCTCGATAGCATCCGGGAATCCCTCTATGTCAGCTTCGTCGTCAAAAGTGCCAGAGTAAATGGCGGGGTCGTCGTCCGGATTTAAAGACTTCAACGTGACATTACCGCGGGACTGCGGTTTCAGTAGCACCACGGCCGCCACTATCAGCTCATGCATCTCGTTTTCCTTTTGCAACTTTTCACATATTTCACTCGTGAACCCAATGCCTCGCACGCACTGGTTACTGGTCATTTGTCCGGCCGGGATGCAGGACGGGTAGATAGCAAAGTAAGGTACGTGGGCCTCTTTGTCCTTCTGAGGCAGGTACGCGCCGATACTGTCAGAATAAGACAAAGTCCCGGAGCCGTTGTACAGGTATTTAATCACGTTGAAGTAACCATCACTTTCGCTTAACTTACAAGTCCCGCGTTCAGCAGTCATGAAGTTTAAGACCATGACGTGATCCTGCAGACCTTGTCCTACGGGTAGGTCTTGGACGACATCGATGTCGAACTGGTTGAGGATATCGCTCGGGCCCACACCCGACAGTAGCAACAGCTTGGGCGTATTAAACGTGCCAGCCGACACGATTACTTCGTGTTTCGCGTAAACAAATAAGTTTCTCCCTTCCGAGTCGGCCTGGACCCCGACCGCCTTGTTCCCTTCGAACAAAATTTTCGTAGCAAATGTATTCCTCAATACGTGGAGCTTACCGGATTTAACTTTATTCAGCATAGCTGTCAACGAGCTGTCTCTGCGTCCGTCCCTGATGGTGTGGGAGAACTTGCCGACTCCTATCTTGTACGGGTACGTCATGTCGTCGACTGCGGCAAAACCCAACTCTTGGAAAGCTTGCATCAGCTTGCTGTTGGGGCTGTGTGGATAGTGGGCTCCTGACACCTCGATGGCTCCTCCAATGCCGTGGTACCGCATGAGCTCCTTGTTTCTAATGATATTGCTGTCCGTCATATGCTCAGTCCTCTTGAAGTAGTCCAGCACGTTAGTCCAGTTCCAGACGTCGCCTGCGATATCAGCCCACTCGTAGTAGTCCTCGGGGTGTCCCCGCGCGTACACCATGTCGTTGAGGGAGCCGCTACCGCCCAGCATCTTGCCTCGCGGCTGTCTCTGGACGTGGCTCGCCAGCGCTTGACTCGTGACACCGTCATCAATGGTGGTGAAGTTCCAGTCGTAGGGTGTTTCTTTTAAGGTTTCTCTTAAGCCCGGTACCTGAAAATGGTATTACAAAGGAAATTGAACATCGTGTTTATGCTCGAATTAAATTGAAGTGAGAATCCGTGTGTAGGTGTGTGCTACATGTGCACTTACAATGCTCTCCTCGGGAGGGTTCGGTCCTGCTTCTAGCAGCAGCACGCTGAAGCGGTTCTCCTCGGCCAGTCTCGCTGCCAACGCCGAGCCTGCCGTGCCACCGCCCACTACGATGAAGTCGTAGTGGGACCCGTCTGAATAATAACACAAAAAATATTTATAGTTTACTTTACTACCCAAAGTGGTTTCTTATCGTTTACCGTACCTGTCAGCACGCCAAGCTAGTTGCGTCGCATCAGAATTAAATAAATTTGGAATAAGAATTAGGTCCTAAAGGAGATGATAAATAATTTTACGTACTTGTGACATGCGCCTGTCTTGGGTACGACTCTTGCAAGAGACACTGGGAGGCAGCGAAGAACTGTAGCGCCGCAGCCACGTATGTGGCCGCGGGACCTGCGCCGGCGCATCCGCCCACTGCGTAGCACATGTTGTCTGCAACGAACAAAGTATGTACTTTACTGCTGTTATATATATACCTCTATATACTGTAAACTGTATGGGCTGTATGTAGCCGACAGGGGCTACCCGACTAATGTTACCACGTCACACATATACTGCCACACGGGACGTGTTCTGTTGTTCTACATGTCGACTCTATTCAATTCTAGTTATCAATTCATTCTTCGCCAAAGTTCTTAAATACAACTATTTGAAGCTAAACTATTTAAATATGTTATAAACTACAAATAAAATATAAAAAATCCTACTGACCTCACTTCTACTAAATATATTAAATATATCAAAGATCAAAGTTTAAAGACTCTGGTTTTTGCAATGAACTAATACATTAAATATCAATCAAGGTGTTGTTCAATTTTCAACTCTATGCAAATTGTCGTAAATAGAAAAACCTTTAATAATACATTCATTATTACGCTTTGGCCTTGAACCACAACGATTTTGAATGACCGCGCGAACTTCAGATGAACTCGTGTACACAACGTAGTATTTACTTATATATAATATACAGGTGCCTGGCACATACGCACGTGTAGGTAACTATGTGAAGGTCATTACTCAGAAATTAGGAGGATATTCACTTTCAGTGACACAGTGGTTCGTTGATAAACAATATTATCTGATAACTCGATTCAATTTCGATCTGTAAACAGAGATATAGTTATGAATAAGCTGCAGTTTATGTCATTCACTACTTACGACGATAAAGACTGCACTAGTTCTTTAAAATTAGCATTTCACTCAACGTTTTGGCAACTAAGTGGTAAAAGCACAGATTTCATAATCGTTACTGGTAAAACACTAAACACACCCTCAGTACTTAAAAAGTTATGTATAGTTATGTTAATACATGTATATGCTATACATTGTAGATGGCGATGTATTTGTATGTTATATATATTGTTATTTATTTATTTATGTTTAAGTAACAGTATCCGCACTAACCTGCGTCCTCGATAAGATAGCTCCACCGTCGGTTGTTGCTCCACTCCTTCAACGATAAAGAACTTGTTTTAATATCGTCAATTAATTTGTAGTTTGATAATGTGTTACTGGCAAGCAGTGGTGCACAAATATTAAATTGTAATAGACGTAGTTTTCACTAGTTAGTATGGTTGTTTATAAGTTGCATGTCGGCATGTTGTCACAAGGGGTCCAGGCACATCCTCCGTCGACCTCCGTACTTTATTACTCCACCCAGAAACCAAATCTAAGATCTTCCTCAGTCAGTGTAATCGGCGCCACCCATGGTCACCCGTAACACGTTGCGGACCATTTCAAAATTGGGGATGGGGGGAAAAATGGGCGTTGCTTCACGTTTTTTGTGAACCTGTGATGTGACTGCCGTCAGCCAGCCCACCGTGTCTAGCCGAATGGATAAATTTGTTTTTAACATAATAAGGGTTTGTTTTTAAAGTGCCATGAATAGCTGCTTTATCCGCTTGTATGCCTGTATAGTGTATATGGGACACAATGGGGACACAATAGAAAATACACTGTCTCGCGTGGATCCACGTTTTTTTTTAAGGGGACAAAACATCGATTGACTGCTCCCGCCTGGGTGAGGCGGGAGGGAGTGTCAGACTCTTACTGACTAAAAACCAGCCCGTTCCTTCTCCTGCACGACGAGCCGAAGCCCCGGTAACCCATTAGGTTCTCCGCGACGGATCCACCTTTAGACACACGACGGGTAAAAAGAAAAAATAATTTAACGAATTTTTTATTCGATTTACCCACATGTTGAGTCTTTAGCAAAATGTACTATGTTATCGGATCGACAACGGCTGAAGTTAATAAATAAACCAATAAAAAGTTCTAGAATAAATATTGCTGTAAATTAACCCCTAGTGTCTCCACGCGAGACACAATGTATGTATTTTGTATTGTCGCATAAACCGGCACTCATGAGGTTAAAAGTTCCCGTAACCATCGAGCATGCACGAAAAGACTGATGCCTGTTGGTCAAGTAAAAGAGATAAGTAAGAATCGGAGTAATTGACGGTCCATACTGTCTGCCAAAACCCAATTCACAGATTTTTGGATTAAAATCAGTTATTAACTTCAGTCGGTACATCAACTAAATATTACAAATACGGATTATATTTATACCAAAAATTTCATAGTTTTGTATTTTTTTACACCACAATTTCCTTCATGCGATCTGTGTGCGCAGTTATCAGTTGATATTTTTATATTGCTCGATATAAACAACTACAATCATGTATCGTCTCATCAATTCTGCAGTATCTAGATAAAGTATGAATGCAACCTCACCTTAGCAGCACAAGTAATTTTGTTTCCATCTTTATGTTTATCCTGACTCCCTGTAGCTCGCCTACAAGACATGGTGAATTGGTGACAGATGTCTAACTAACCAATATTCAATGAACTACCTACGTGATTGTAACTATGTATACCGTGGGTATACCCACATTTTCTCCACATTAAATTATTTATGTTTTAAATGCCTGCTGTAATAATATGTACGTAGGTACATCTAATGTATAAGAATTTCCAATTTAGGTAGGTTAATAATATACACACAATTTTCTTTTTTGAGTACTTATTTAAAAATGTGAATTAGCGTAATGAAAACACGTAAATTATGGGAAGGAATTATGCTTAAACCATAAGCGTACAAACGGTAGCCGATACCGTGGTGAGGATCGTACAATACAAACAATATAAGATGGTTGCTACTTCCTCCCGATTGTACGGGATAGCCGGCAAGAATAGATGTTCCCCTGATGAGTGTTCGCCCACAACACCAGCGGATGCAAGCGCGTTGCCGGCCGTTTAGAATTTGTGGATGGGGCGAAAGATAGGTTACCTATGATGTATGTTAAACTTTGTTGAGACGTACGTATGGTATAGATGTAGGAATGTTTGTTAGTCTTTCACGCAAAAGCTACGGAATGGATCTGAATAGATACATTATGGCCTGGAACAACACATGGACTGATTGAATGATGAGATCGCGGGCAGAAGCTCGAGCAGAAGCTAGTACGTATTAAATATCAACCGATTCTGTAGTGACAGCACCTACCTGTGCAGTGTGCTGGGTGCACTACACGCCGCGCCGCGCCGCGATGTAGATTGAACACTAAATGATCGCTAAGTTCGCGACCACTGCTTATAAGCGGACTCAAAAACCCAAATAGATTCGGCAAGTTTATTTTCTAAATATATAACTACGTGAGAGATGAGTCAAGTCGCACGCGCAGGTTTATTACCTGTTCGCAGTGTCCTCCAGGGGTCAATGCATCCTAGACGATGGCGTCAATAGACACACACACATTACAATTTTTTGTACAAGTGACCTAGTTACATAATAGTAGGTAAGTACCTACCTACTGTGTACACAGGTAGTTGACGCGGACACCGCGAACATCAAACGTTAATCATGATGATTCAAGGTTTTCTTGAAAACAAAAAAATAGCCTTCACGCTGAGTACAATGCACGAGAAAAATATTCAGGAAATAAATAACTGAGAACAAATTAGGATTAGGTACTCAGATATTAAGTGTCTGCTTTTGGGCAAAGATGGATGAACATCAAATGCCTCCTCAGATCCCGGGTGTATAAAGGTTTATCAAATATTTCTTTAACTTCACTAGCCATAACATCATTACATAAGGTTACGTTACCTACACACAAAAATATGACAAAATCATTTAAAATAACACACTAATATTACCTTATTTAATAAACTTTAAAATGCGAGTAAATATTTAACATATAAATGTTGTACCTTATACTTCTATCATTACCGTATCCATTTCCATGCCGTTTTACACTAATCGCACTTTATCTTGGGGTGACCGCACTTTTTATTATTTAATCACAACACTCACACCGGTGAAGTTCCTGTAGAAGTTGAAAAATTGGCCTCCCGTTGCTGATGACGGAACAAGCTCATCGACCTTCGCAGATTGAAGTCACGAACACCTCTTTCAATCCATTTTCCATGGCATTTCCTGTAGTAGCGCAATAGCCATATAACGCCTCCAATAATCAGTATAACGGCAATAGTGACCAACATATAAGTTATCACATGTGTATGCTGCAACATCTGTTCGGCCCCAGCCGAATTTTCTGCGCCGTTCTGTGCTATTATAACTTCCTGGGTCTTAGATTGTTGTTTGCCCATTTTGAAAACTTGATTTTTAATTGAGGAACACGGGAAAAGTCACAAATTAAGTTCACAGTACACGAACCGTCACTTCGTAAGGTAATGAATAAAATTAGAGCCATCGTAATAAGTCTTTAAAACTGTCCAGAGCACTCAATGTTTATAATAACGTCTCCTTTTATGGGACATTCCACTGCGCTGGCAGGGTCGCCATATAAAGGTTCGATTCGGGAGAGAAAATAGAACACGTCCAGTTAGCAACGAATATGATTTATTACTCTCATATAATCGATACTTACATTATTTAATATACTCTTAGAATCTAGGAATAGCATGACATCATTTCATAGGTTCCACTATAGGTGAGGCGGGCCACAACCCGCCAGCAGAACTTACCAGCTTACTACTTCCTAGTGATAAACCTAGGTAATTGCTACCATAGGTACTATAAACTGTGCATGATCTAAAGAGGATACAAACCAGTGGCGTAACTACAGGGTGGAAAGTCAGCAAAAGCTTGCGGGCCCCCAGCCGACGGGGACCCGTTCAGAGATTTTGATCTATACTTGTAAGTTCTATAGGTACTAGGAACGGGGGCCCATCCGATGAATTTGCCACAAGTCCCGAACGGTACATACATGCATATAGTTACGCCACTGAAAGAAACTATTCAAGTGCTGTAACCGACTAAGACACTGGGTCACTTATAATACAAAATTGTTCATAAGTAGGTATACGTAACATAAGTTTTGAAACAATATGACACTTAAACGGAAATCGAACCCTCGACCACTGACTTCGACGCGAATGGTTATTTTTAGTAATCGAAGACATGGAGGTTGTAAAATGAATTATTTTAATCTCCACTTACTGTACAAGTGAAGTATCAATTAACCTCTTGCTTGTATGTCGGTATTTAAGACACATTAGAAAACGCATTGAGTCTCGCGTAGGTCTCCGCTCCGACATACCAGAGGTTAATGATAGGAAATTGCAACGTGGCACGGGTTCGATTTCCTACCTGTCCCTTCTTCCTGAATTTTTAAAAGAAACATATTTAATAGGCAAGTCTATGGCAATCGTGAAGTCTTTTCAAGAAACTCTCGTGCGAGTGAAGTTACCGGAAGCCCCGTCTTCCCCTCTCCTCAATCAGTGTTGCATGGGCGACGCCGATTGCTTACCATCGGGTGATCAGTCTGCTCGTTTGCTGACTTATTCCATTAAAAAAGACACTATTAGGCAACAGATCTTAATTTTCACTAGCGCCGCCTAGCGCCCCGTAGCGAATTTGCTAATATCAAATCATTAGACAATCAATTCTTTACAGCCATATTGATCGGACAAGATCTTGCACTACATAAATGCCATCTCACGAAAACGATAGTCTTATTCCAGACTCCATGCTACTTGTAAACATCGGCACTGTGGATCGGACTAGACCTACAAAGTACGTATACCTATTATGAGCAGAGCACCTATGAAAGAAATGATAATATTGTACTAAAGATATTACAAGCAACAGACTAAAGAAATTCTCATAGGAAATAAATGAGAGAAATATGAACTTACCAGCAAGGTGGTCGCCTGTCGCCAGCGGTATAGCAATACGTGCGAGTGCTGAGTGAGCACCCCGCGGCGCGCTGCGGCTATATGTATGGAGCCCGCTACACATACATGTATATGTATGGACGCGTATCAGTGGCACATAATCAGGCCATCAGATTATCTCAGTTTTACATAACACCTTTATGTCAGCATACACTCCAAACTGACCGATAGTACTCACTACTGTGAGATCAAGGACTTACTCCACTTGTAACATTGTCTTGTTTTTTCCTGAATACTCTTAGTCATAAATCGATGCAGATAAAAAGTCGACATTTTCATATTATAATAATAATAATAAGTCCCCAAAAATCCTACCTTACGTCCTGGTTGAACATCTAACCACGTGGGGGGTGGACACGTATACAATTGAAACTTACACGGCTAACAAGGTAAAGGTCAATATGGAGACTAGAAATAGAAGATTACGTTTAGGCCCGCTGCCCGAGGATCGTCGGGGCACATCTGTAGCTGGTGTCAGCGTGATGGACCGTATGCTAGACTACAGCCGAGTTTTCAAATAGCAATAGTAGAAGAGCAACTACTTTAGCTGAAAATGTTTCGCAGGAGGCACTTACCACTCAACCTGCGACCACCAAAGATGGTAAACCCAGAGTGCGCGTGAAATGGAGCGAAGAAATAAACCTATTTTATCATGCGCACATATTGTTATGTTACCAGGCTAGAAACAGAAAGAACTATATACGTTATTGCAAGAAACTTCATGGCTGTTTTTCCTCGAAATACCCAGAATTAAATGTTTCTGCAAAGAATTAATTTAAAGTTCACTTGATTTAGGCTTGGTTTAATTTCGAGAAAAAGAGAATACCTTAGAAATAATAATAATAAATTGTTTTATATGGAACAACATAGGAACCATTATGTGTTAGTATGAGTCTTTTAAACTGCAGCTTAAACACTAATGTTAGTAAGTAAGAACTGAAATGAGTAATGTACTTACGAGGCACTTCATGCGGACAATGAAGCCGCTTGAGATGCCTCAGCACAGGAGCTCTCGGGTCCTCAGCCACGACTTTTAGGATGCTATTGCGACTCCCCCGAAGCCTCCCCACAAGCGACGCCACCTTTTTCCTGACGATGGCCTGGAAACTATCTGTATCACTCCGCACTCCAACCCTCCAACGGTTCCGAAAAGCAGTTTGACCATCTAACACAGTTACAAGTCTAAATCGGTTCAGTATAGTAGTGGACAGTGTGCGTAAGAGCCAGAATATTTTTCAAAAGAAAACAGAAAGATTTGTATTCAAAAGAGTATTTAATTGTATAGATTGGATAAAACATAATGATTACCATATTATTATTACAATGTTGTATAATTGATACACTCATACACCGCGGCCGCGTGTACAATACTAGGTTACTGGAAGGAGCATGCACTTGACTCGCTCAACGAACCGTCGCGCCGTCCGCGCCGTCGCTACTGCCGTCGCCGCTCCTACCAAAAAAACAATCACAGTACATCGCGAGAATGCCGGGACCCATACCTTCTTACCTAAGTCCTAACACTAATACTCTCAGTCTCGAAATATTAATCTATTACGTGAATATGGTGATTCACGTAATAGATTAATATTTAGAGACTGTTTCTCCACTCCAGTAGCACAGTGATGGAGTACCCGATATATATCTGTATATCTGG